GAAGGTTTATGCAATTTTATTTTTTTTACATTTATTTTTAATACATTTTTTTATTAATATTTAATTAAAAAAATAAATATATCTAAATATTTACTTAAAAATGTTGAAGTTAATATTTTTTACCTATAAGTAATTTTTACAATTATAATTTTTTTATTACTTTTAAATAACTTGAAATGATTTGTTTACTTATAAGTAACTTTTTACGTTCTAGATAGTTTAATCTTTTTATTAATATTTAATTTTAAAAACTAAATATATCTAAATATTTATACTAAAAAAATTTTAAGCGCACATTTTTTTTATATAAGTAATTTTTACAATTATAAGAGAATGAGGGATTAATATTTTTTTTTACATATAAGTAGCTTTTACAATTATAAGTTTTTTGTTTTAAATAACTTAAAGTGATTTTTTTACTTATAAATAATTTTTTATCTTTTAGATAGTGTAACATCTTCTTTTATTTTTAAATAACTTAACCGATTTGAAAATTGGTTTGGCAACAGGAAAAATTTTATTAAAAAATACTGTAGGAATTTTGTCACATGCCATTGTCCACTGCAATATTTCTCCCTTGCTTTGAATCTGACATACCATGCTCTTTCTCCTAATTCTCATGGTATTAACTATCAACCATATCTTATATATTTAAATTTTTAAAATTATATTAATAAACAAAATTATTGTAAATAAAATGTCAAAAAAAAAAAACACATTCACTCCGTGCATGGAGAAAAAAATTTACGTCATACAATATGATTTTTCTTGAGCAAAATGATGTATTGAAAAAATTGTTGCGAAAAAATAATAAATAATAATGAAATAATTGAATTTTTTTAAGAAAAACGACTTATACGCATTTTTTAACACATACGTTTAATGTCCGTTTAACTATTTTCGATATTCATTTAGATCATTCTTGAAATGAGTTTCGAGAGAATGTAAAACATTTATCGATTCGACTATCGTACAATCGTCAATGAATTTTTAAAGTTAGTTTATTATCGAAAATTTCGAAATATAGTTTGAAAATGCCTATTTTGACGTCCTCTAACTTTGCTACGATTAACCGTTTCACACACCGTTAACGACGTGCAATACTATGCCGCGGGTACTTCAAAATGATATTAAGAATGTAATAATTCGATTTCGTTTGATATCCCGTAATGAGTATATATATATATATGCATAAACCTCCGTTTTTTACTTTTATTTTTA